AACTGAAGTTACAAAGTATTTGGAGTTTGCAGGGGAATCTGAAGCTCGACTTCCTCTCATTACCACAGTTACTGCTGTTACAAGGTTGCCAATTACAGATGCCACTGGAAATGCATATGTATTTCAATCTTCACCTGGAAGTCGTCTGATCATTGCTTCTTACAATCACCATTATGAGAAAATCATAAATAGTTATTATTATATTCGAATTCTATGTTTATATATTGACAGACCTGCTCTGTTGGATGCTAGAAAAACAATACGTACATTCTTTTTGTTGTTTAGGTTCATAGGTGATCGAATGCCAGTGACTTACATCAATAGTACTTCTCGCTGCTCTATTGGTTATCTTCGTGGTCTTCTTCCTCCCAAAAGAACCCTCAAGCAGCTAAAGGATGATATAATGTTTCATGCACAGACCTATCAGGTATATGTATGATTTTTGTTGTTTTGATTGTATTGGATAACACATATCCCAAATATATAGTCATATCTTTTACCTATTATAACACAAATTCCTTCCTTCAGGCTCTCTATCGTTGTATGCTGGAAATGACAAGATTTACATACGGTCCAGAGGTCTTTAAAACATGTTCAGGTTTTCCAAGGTATGATTCAATTTTATGTTTTGCTAATAATCTGTTGTCCATTGCATTTCAGGAAGATCAAAACGTTCCTTTTATTGTTTAATTCAGGGTACGATATGAATTACAAGCAACATGTGACTGTGAGGGAGAATATGTTGATGTTGTGTTTGATCATGAAGCTGTGTTGGGCTTGGTTTGGGTTTCACCCGAGGAACTTTTCAGTCTAACCTATGAAGAAGGATATCAGTACATTCAAGACAGGTGTTATTTGCCTTTTATGGCTGAAGCTTATGTTGCTCCTGGGACTTCAGAAAATCCTCCTGCAATCCGAATTGCTTCAATCTGGAACCCTAATGCTTTCGTGTGATTGGAAACTATTCTACTTGGAACTTAGTTTGTCGGGACGGCTTATTTATAATTATGTATGTTATCTATTCAGGACATGTTGCTCTGTTTTCTGTCAAAAAAAACTTAATGTTTTCCCCTAACTACTCTGGTATTTTGGAAATTCACCAATGTACTCACTTCGACAATTTGCTAGCCGCTGGTTATTCTGTTCGGTCCAAATGGAAGTCCCTGATGTTTGTACCTCAATAGTTTAGAGAGGTGAATGTTTTGTTTTGATCATGAAGTCCCTGATTGGGGACATGGAGAAACTACTTTCCGCCTTTAATATTGTATCTACCAAAAAAATTAGCAGGAGACATTGTTTGCGTTTTGAATTCTGGGCAGGTTCTTCATGTTCTTCCTGTTCTTGCAGAATGACACAATAGAATATTTTATCATGATCCTTTGATCGAAATTAGCAGGAGACATTGTTTGAGTTTTGAATTCTTCGGCCTTAAACGCTTACTAAAACCGAGGCCACGTTTTCTTACGTTTTGATAGTAATGGAATGGTATTGAGCCCAGCCCGAACATGCTTTAGGATTGCAGACAGAAGCCCATGGGAAACTGGCCCAAAATCTTAGCTTCCTTTATAAACCCTAACTGTCTTCATCAACCAGATCCGCCGTCCACATTTCCATACACTTTGCTCCGCCGCGGAAGCCCCACCACCGAACTACACGACAGCCTTTAAAACAAAGGTAACTCCACGTCCTCCTCTTCCTCACCGTCTTCACACTTGGGAATTAACTTCTGATCATCATCCACGTTGTTTGCGTAAAGACCCCACAAGACATGGAGGGTTTGGACAAAAACCAGCAGTCAACAGAGGACGCTCACATGGTCCCCACCGACAACAAAGGTGAATGCTTTCCATTTTTGTTAAAGAAACCAGGTATCTCGAATCCTCTGCTACAATGATAAAATATGTATTTCATTTCCCTATACTGTCTTATTATAGATCCGATCGAAACTTGCATGCCATTTCGAGGGCTGCGTCTGGGCACCAACGTCCGCATAGTAATTGCTAGGCCTGTGATGGCATGGCTCGAATATCGAGAGGCACCTAAGCTTAAAGATCTTAGCATGCACATGATCTGGATAGATAAAAAGGTTTTTTTCCATTTCAGTTACAGAATTAGATAATCTCTTCATCAACAATTTTAAACTACTATAATACATAATTTGGAACCGTTTAACTGCTTATCTTATAGGCACGACTAATCGAGTCAATGGTTGATGAAAAAGACATCGCCAAGATTTCTCGCAAGATAAAAGTCGGGAACCTTTATCGGTTTGATTCGGTTGAAGCAATACCAGCAAGAGAGAATCCAAAGATCGTTGCAGGAGAGTTAAGAGTGCACATAACCGCTGATCAAAAAATTACCAGGATTGAGGAGGACCCAGATGAGCCACGCTTGCCCGCTGGCTGGGACATTGGGATGGCTTTTTCGATGGTACCACTTCAGACAAACACCATCGACTATCATACAGGTACATTAACTATATCTATTTGATATAATAAAATGAACTTAAGCTTTTAAATGACAAACTCTTATGTTGCTTATAGACATCACCGTATGCATTAGGCGTCTCAGTGTTCCCACAACAATTCGCAGTAGACTCAAAGAATTTCACATGGTCGTTCAGGATGTGAGGTACATTTTGTAGAATAGAATCTCGATCTGCGAATTGTATGAATAAACAACCTCACATATTAATGTCATTGACAGTGGCGCTAAGGCAACTGTTCGGTATCGTGGATATGATATACCGAACTTCTTAGAGAACGCCCCGACAGCTGAGGCTCATCTGCCTCTGATTGTTACAATCAAGTCTGTCATTCGGGTGGCACCTCTATCCGACCAGAAATATAAGTATCGGTTCGAATCCACTCCTGCCAGTGCACTCATGATAAGATCTTATACAGTCCCAGTCCAGGAGATAATGCACATGTACATTTAGTTTGACAGAATCCTTTCCATTTTTTGAATCATATTTGTTGCCAGTCGGCCAAAACCAATTACATTGACACTTTTGTCTCTTTTATGCTACAACCATTTTCCTTTACAGTCGCAGACAAGTTTATTTCATGGATGCCAATACCAGTAAGAAGATAGGGTGCCTTCGATCAGGAATCGAAAAGAAGACACTCTCTGACATGGAAACAATGCTTGCATCTGATCAGACTGTCCACAAGGTTAGTGAGGGACATAACATAAACCAAACTCCTATACTGTGTACCTACATTTTTCGTAGACCTATGTCTTATCAATATCTGATGTTCATGCTAGGTACTCTATCGTGTTAAGTTCTTCATCTCACAAATGAAATTTCGAAAAGCCATATGTCAAGCGACTGAGGACTGGCCAGAGTAAGTTTTCTATTTCAAAACGACAATTACATCTCATGTGAATCAATCTATCTACGAATAAGCCAACAAGTTTCTAAACTTATACTTATGACTAGGCTGCACTATGAGTTGGAAGTCAAATGCAAGCAAGGAGATGATAGTGTTGATGCCATACTGGACCACGAGGCTACACTATCAATAATAGGAATGTCACCCAGCAAATACAAAAAACTCGATGCAGAATCGGCCAAGGCGTTTCTGGTCAAAAGATGTAGCATAATGTTTGCAGGAGAGCTCTACATCGGTTCCTCAGATCTGAAGAACAGAACCAGAACAGCCTTATCCCACATAAGAGTAGCGACACTTTGGCACATCTCAAAAATAGATAAGTGACCATCAGCACTACTGACAGAAAGACCAACCGAAGTATCCCATCCACCCCTAGAATTCTCCATTTTAAACTGAAGTTTCTATTCCCTATTTTCAGTGAAGACAAAACTATGGCAGATGTGTTTGTATTTTTTAATTTCGTCGAGGGCATCAGATACTAAAGTTTTTATTCCCTATTTTCAATGAAGACAAAACTATGGCAGATGTATATGTGTGGTGTGCACAAAGTTTGTTAATATGTTTGTTAATTTCTGCGCTCTCTAGCGCAATAAATCTAAACTATTTGCGAATGGTATAGCAGAAAGAACATGACAAAATCCACAAAACAACTGGAGTAAGACTTACTCCGGCGCGGAGCGCGGCCGAGTACTAGTTATACTAAACTTGGCTAGTTGGGTTGTGATTGCTTGTAATGATATACATTGTTTATTGAAAGACAATAGTCTTCATATAGGGTTCATGCACTTGGAGAGACTAGGAGAGACTATTTAAGATTAGTCGAGTGTAAAATTGGACTCAAATTTTTTATCGAATCGATATATCAACAAATTTAATCAGTTTGGAGAGACTAGGAGAGACTATTTAAGATTAGTCGAGTGTAAAATTGGACTCAAATTTTTTATCGAATCGATATATCAACAAATTTAATCAGTTTGCAGAATAAACTTCGTGAATCGTGATTCAAAACTAAAGTTGTGACTCACAATATATCTATAAAGAACCAATAAAATCGATAATTGCATTGCTGTTGTGTTTTTGTAGCTCATCGAATGTCATGAAATGATAAGTTCTCTAGACTTCAATGAAATCTATTGATCATCTTATGTGTGACGTAAAGAGACAAATTCAAAGGGGGTATGAAACCTTGGTGAAACCTTAATGAAAGCTATCGATCATCGAATGCCAATCTATATTTCATACTTTGCACTACACTACAAGCTATAGGTTTGCGCCATTTCCTTGCTTTCTGGCAATATTTACAGAACAATAATTAATTAATAATGTCTAACCTATCTATATATATATACCCACCTAACTAGCAACTACCCAAAAGACCACCTCCCATAATGTATGCTTTGCCACCTTCCTTGTTATCTCATCCAAAACCCTTTCCATGTGAAGATTAAGGTAAACCAAAACAAAACCCTCCCAAATGACCCAACATTACCGTAGATTTGGCGCCTTGTTTCCCTTGTTTGGACTAGGTAAATGAATGTAACAACTAACAGCTTCCAGTAACTACATTCTCATCGTCCATGTTCTAAGGGCAACCACAGGTCATGCTTAGGCATCACCGTAGTTCGGATTATTGACCCTCTCTTCTGAAATGGGAGGGGGAACCCTAATCATGAGACTCTGAACAAAGGCTACCGTCTACAAAACCAAACGTTGTATGGTCAAGTTTACGAGTCGGTCCATCGATAGATTGAGAACAATGTAGTCAGAGAAGCTCACTTACCATTGCGAATCCAACACACATGATGCTGAAGCCAGGGAAGTCGAATGGGGCATTATCGGAGAGAAATAGAGCTGTCAAGTTACGGCGAATTGATGTTGGTTAGTTTTCTCATCCTGTTGAAGCATTGAGGATTAAATCAAATGTGCATTACCTGATAATGGAGAGAAAACTAGGGGGGAAACAACGTGCGCAAAGGAAGAAATCCCTGATATGCATCCTTGAGCCTTTCCCTGAAAAAGAAAAGAGAGAACACAAACTAATTAATCATCCATAGCAGAAATCATCTGTCTCAATTGAGATATCCTTTCTTTCTGTACCCTGAAATTACCTGCTCACATGAACCAACTTGCTTGGACACAATGGTTCGCATCTGACAAGGGAAGAAAAAAGTTCATTTGGGAATAAGGGTATATACTATAGAGAAATGGATAGAGAGCTCAATGGGAAAACTAACTTACACATGGTTGTGAGAAAACGAAGAAAATGGAGAGCATAGAGGCAGCATATGGGACCTGTTCATGAACATCTTTCAAAAAGTTAGCAATGGTAAAGAGTAAATGAGTTAACCATAGTAAGAAAACAGAAGCCATTGAAGAAATTGAAGTACCCAATAAGACCATGCGACGCTGTAGAGAAATGTCTGCAGTCAAAATTTAGAGCTAAAGGTTAGTGAATGAAGGGGCTAAGAGAAACAAGATATGAAAACGCGACGGAACACAAAGCTTACATGGGCACAAGAGAAGAAAAGTCCAACCGAAAGCAGAACACCTTCTCCCAAGAATGGAGTTAATATGGGCATCACAATCAGCTGCAACAAAACATTTGCAGTCCCCAGTCGTCAACTCATTGGGGAAAATAAACAAACACCTTGTGGGCATGCATACAAGTGAACATCCCTTTACCTGTGAAACCGTCCCAGCAATCCCGGAAATCACCATTAGATCTGCGAACTGATCCTTATTGAAGTGGAATTCTGCTTTCAGGTAGTACTGCAAACACAGGGAATAGAATCAATTGAGTTCAAATCAGCAAAAAGAAAGCGAGGGACAGAACCCAGGAGATATACCGTTTGGGAGGCATGAAGGCCGGCATCTGAAAGGCTGAGGAAGAACGCTACGATTGCCGCCTGGGTGAAAGTCTTACTGCGAAATCAAAGAAGCAAAACATTCGGATCAAATCGATCTATTTTACCGACGAAAACAGGACAGAGAAGCGGAGGAAAGCCGAAACCCGACCTGCTCTGCAGCATGGTGAGCATGTCTCGCAGGGAAGGCCTCGATTTGAAGATCTGATCGCTCTTAATCGGAGAGATCTCGTTCGGGCAATCTGCTATTATCTTTGCCTTCCCTCGGGAGAGAATTGGCGTCTTGAGGCTTTCATCGACTGCTACGTCGGGAAGGAAAATCCTCATGTACACCGTAGCGGCGATCGCCACGGCCGTCGCCACCTGGAAAGTGGAAGCAGTGGTGAGGAATCGAGTGACGAAGTTCCCGCAGACGAACGCTGCGGATCCGATCCCGGAGAGTATCCCGAAGGCCGCCGCTCGCCGTCCCACCGGAACATTGTCCGCCTGAAAAGTGAAGAACCAACCAATGGGAAGTTTCAATTAGATGCTGACGCGGGAGAGCGGGTAATTGCAGGGTGAAAATTTGGCTAGGCTTTGGAAAATTGGGCCTGAATGACACAGAATCAGATAATAGGCCTTGAGCCTTGACTATCAGCTATAGGCCCATTAATGCAAGGCCTCGTGGTTTACAATTTACGAATGACAGTACTTGTTTGGGCTCACTTACTATTAGCTGACTGTTTCTGATCATCTTTTATGTCAGATTTTCTTCGTTCAAAAGATTCGGTACAGCTTGAAATTGTAGAATATCACATCCAGAAGTCAGAACTGAAAGCCCAAATAAGCATGGGCCAGAAGCCCATAAGGTGGGGGGAAGGGGAATTACCACGTAGGCGAGAGCAAGGCAGTGAACACTTCCTTCACAAACCATGGCAGTGAGAGTCTTAAGCACATAGTAAGCGTAGAAGAAGTTCCTGGACCTGCTGTACGCCAATATGGCTGCAAAAACAAACCAAATGACCACGGTGACGAGGAAAAAAACGACATCATTTTGCAGCAACTTGTAACAAGAAAAGGAAATCTTGCTAGGATGATGATAAGTCCAAGCCATTACTTCACAAACCCTAATGTGCCTTCTTTCCTGATTTGTTACTAGGAACTAGGAAGCAGTAGGTTAGAAGGATTCAACATCACCACATGACAAAGGATACACAAAGAATGTTTTGTTCATTATATGGTCCCATTTTATGTGGGAGAAGATCGCGTTGGAGTTGCCAACTGTTGTTTTAAGGCCATGTTTACTATTCCCTTTCAGACCCCAACATTCTCATGGGATGGTTGCACCTTTCATAGAAGAAAAAAAAAAACTAACCATATTTAGCCCGGTATTTATATTCATTCTCGTTATATGCTAAAACAAGGAAGAACTCCTTAGTCATTATGCTTCGGACGAATGTCACATCTCGTAGCAAGGCTGGTTGGTTTTGTTGCTTTGCACTAAGCATGGCATTGTCACATTGTGGTTCATCCACTTCATCTACTCAAAAGAATGAGTAAATGACTAAATGAGATAGGTATAATGTAAGTTATAGGGGTGATGAAGTCTAACTTTGGAGTCTAAAGGAAGGTTTGTTTTACAAACCCTGAATTAAGGCCTAGGGAAATATTTTCTTCAAGGAAGTTAATATTCACACGATATGTTTTATTTTCTGAGTTGGTGAACCAATTTAATCTTAACTACCACTTATATAATGATTGTTGTATTTATATAACTGCCAAATATCACTATTTTTTGGCTGCGTCAAATTATCAATCTTGCATTCCAGCAAGTAAGAACCGCCACCTAAAAGGCTAAAACCATGATCCCAGGTTTCTCATTGGACGTCAGACCGCCTTCTATTGTGCACAATTGCACTCCAACTCCAATCAGAGATTCCCTAAAAAAAAAAAAAAAGATTCCTTCTTACTTTCGAGAAAGTACCTTGGGTTGATCAAGTATTCATGCTTGAATATCTAATCATGGTAGGTTTTTGTGAATGCTTTAATCAATCATGGACTTACAAATTTAAATATTGTCCTTCATAAATAAATGTATCACTCTCAAACAAGATTTTTAAATATATTTTTACCATATATTCATCATTACTCTCTATGCATAATTACAATCCATCGTCCTAACAACCTGGTCCAATAACCTAGTCAATTTGTTTCCTTTCTTCTTCTCTGTTTTGTTGGTTTATAGTTGAGGTAGTTGCATATAAGCTCAAGTCAAGCTGAGTCACATTGCTAACCAATTCTCTCCAACCATTTTCTCAAGTCGCATAAAGATTTGAAATTTTTGTTTTAAGGGTAGATTTGCAATTTGCATGTATCATTGATTGTCCGCATAATAGATTCCATACATGAAACTGAAACAAAAAAAAAAAGGTAAATAAGAAGACAATTGATGAATAATCAAGTTTAGGGTTTGCTTATGCTTACCCAAAGGGATGATAGAAAGGCTCATTGGGAGAGTGAGCAAAGCTTTTCTCCCATATTTGTCTGAAAGATTCCCTACCAATGGCATCATTACTAAAGTCCCAAGCCCAATCACCTGCACCCAAAACAAACACACATAAAAATGAGTCTTCCTAATAATAATAAAAAGTTAAATCCATGCCTCGGTTAGTCGAATACAAGACTTTTAGGCGGTCGACTTTTGATTTCGTATCTCGAGTCCCAACTAGTTCATCACCAAAAACCACTTTTTTAAACCCCGCAAGTATTATTAAACTACTTAATCGTTAGATATCTATATTTTTTCACCATATGCATTCACATACACCACGAAACAAAGTTATCTACACATGTCAATTCATCACTACAAACAAACATCAGGATGACGTCGTTGGCATGTGAGACCGAAATCTGTACGGTTCTCAATTAGAGTAACGGTCCAACCGAAAGATACTTTTAATGTGGAAAGTGCAGTCACATCCACATATTGTACAGGAACGTACCCACATAGCCGCCACCCCACAACCTCATTACCTTCCTTTTGTTTCTAAGAAAGAATAATATGAGAAGCCATTGCAACGGCTTGGTAAAGCTTACCTTGAATTCCAATTCACGGGACTATAAAAGTGGGAAGGGGACAGGTTTCGGTTGAAGCAACAAAAGATGACTCACACTCGACGTAATCTAATGCGACTGGATCCTTGGCGACAGAATGCTTCATTTTTGTTGCTTGCGAAATGCTCCTTGACCCTCGTTGGAGAAACGAGAGAAATGAGAATACGGATACCTAACCATGAACTGTTTATACCAAATGACGCCTGTCCGGGCAGGACTGTATCGAGGATTCGAGGTCGCAGTATAACCCCCACCCCAACTGCCAGGTTCGAGCCCCGTGAATCCCAGCATGCCTTTCTCCCCAGTAATTACAACTAGAGTCTAGAGTGTAGCTTTCTCTGGGATAAGGGAGCAAATAGAGAGCCACCTGACACTTGATTGAACCCGATCATATCTAGATTGCATAACATAATCGAAATGAAACCTCAAATGCCTAGTCGGAAACTTGTAATAATACAAGTTGATCTAGTGATAATGAGAGAACGAAAACCTCTGAACCATCGGCAGCTCGAACCGAGGCCAATATCCGTTTATGCCCTGATAGAAACGGTGGATGGTACACTACTAGAACCTTGTGCGTATTGGGTTTACCTAAAATGGGATCCTTTTTCTGTTACAAGAATGGAAACATGAAGAAAACGAAACAGGGGAAGCTTCGTTGCTCAGGTACCATACGGGCGCCAGAGGTAACTCCTCTGTTCTGTTCAGTCTCAAGTCTAGAAAAAAAAAATATTTATTCAGGTTTCCCACTTAACTAAGACTTTCTGATTGGACGTTCTCTGCAGCTAACACTAACGTGGAATACAAGAAAACAATGGGCTAATAACAGAGAGGAGGTTAATCAAGGTATTAACTTTGCATATGTTTACAGGGTGAGTTGGACTCTTGAGCTAAGAACTATGCGATGTTTGGGGTTTTATTAATGAGATGACAGAGAAAGGTTAACCGTTGGAACCAACAACAAAAAAGTTGTCAACTGCTATAGGTTACTTCTTGTCGGGTTTTCCTATGAGAAAAACTGCCCAAATGTCTCCACCTATTAGAAAAGAGCCTCTTCCTAAACAAGGAAAGCATAGATATTAGATACAGTCATTAGACAGAGCAAGAGCTACTGCCCAAAGCCGGACTCCGTGATCTAAGACCCTACATCGTATCTTATCATGTCATTAAGAGAAAGGATGGTAGCTAGCTAGGTATCAGCATGGTCGTATAGGATGATGCTAATACAATCATAGAAGTCTATGACATTCGTATTTGCGACATGTTTGAATAGGTGTATCAAGAGGGAAGAAGGATAAGGAGAGAAATGAATACCGCTTGTTGAAATCCGGTGAGGTAAATGGCAAGGGAGCACTCGGGCTGGTGTGGGCAGACCGCAAACATGGTGACATCGGTTATAATCGGAGCCACCATGTACATTCCGAAGTTGTAGAGAAAGAAAGCGAGGAAGAGGTGGGCTAGTGGCCTCCCTAGCTTCTCCATTCTTTTATTAGTCTCTCTCCACTTCCCAACAATGGCAAAAGGAAAGAGAGGGAGAGGGGGTGGGGGAAAGCTAAGGAGCTCTACACATAGAAACCCAAAGATAGAAGGAACTACTTATAAAAAGAAAAGAAGCCCTATTCATGGATGAATAATTTTTCTTTTTCCCTTTTGTCTTAGGCCTCTTCCGTGCAACCATGAATAACCCAAAAGGAAAGGCGTTGCCTTTATGAAACTACCACCTCCAATTAGTCTTATATATAGCTCACAACTCACAAGGGAAAAAAATCAAATGAATTGGTAAGGCTTTGGTGGGTTTTCACTTTCCTTGCTCACTAGATTGATTGCCTAATTTTTATATATAATTTTTTTCTTATATGCATAATTCCCCACTTGTTTCTTAGTGAGTAAAAATATCTCATCTACCCAATTGAAGAAATTGCCCATACGTCGACATATGATTCATTTTGGACTTGTGAGAAGTAGTGCAGATAGTAGATACCTTTAACCCTCATGAGTTGTAGATAAAACTGAAGAAGAAAAAAAGAAATCAAATTTACAATGTAAATGTTGTCATTCTCATGTTACCGTACCTAGTCCTATACATGTAATGAGTGCTACCATATCCAAAACATTAGATGTGATATGTTACACTAATCTCATTTTGACTACGAGAGAGATTTATGGACAATAAATAATAATTTAACATTAACTTATAGGACCTATTTTGCAGCGAAGTGGAAGAGTTTTTGAAAGAACTCTTAAGGTTAAACATGCTAAGAGATGAAAATAATGCAAAAAAATAGGTGACCTCTTAGGATTTCATCATGAAGCACAAAAGCACGAGTGTGCTTTGGACTAGACCCGAAACATATAATATTTTTATCAGGACAAAAAAAGAAAAAAAGTTGAGCTGAGAATTGAGATGTTACAATTACCAATTCTACCGTTAAATTCAAACATTTATGGGTTGTATTCATGGCGAGACCTACAAATAACCCTACATTTTTATAAGTATCACCTCATTCATAAAAGTTTACCCTCGAAGTAACAGAGGGGGTGGGGGATGATGACACTGAGCGAGAGCGATGTGGAACGAAAGTAAAAGATGCCCTTGGTGCTTCCTTGTGACGAAAGCAAACTCCAATGAAAATCCCACCATACCCTATCTTGCATTGCAGCCGAAGCAGCTGCCGAAAGGCAAGATGAGACTCAAGCAAGCAAGGAATTCCACAACAGTGACAACACCACTCCCTCTCCTCGTTCTTCTTATGGCTGGGTTTTTCACCCTTTTTCTTTTCGGTATTGGGCCTTTATTCAACTTTGGGTTCGGGTTTGGCAATTCACTACTTTGGGCTGGCTTTCCTTTTCCCCCCTTTTTTTTTAATTATCCTTTTTACCTTTCTTTATTTCGATAAGACTGTGACTCTGCTTTACTGGGTTTGGACCCTTTTTTACCAAACAGGTAAAAAAAGAATTTACCCACATCAGATGGTATGGCACGATGTGGCTTTAGGTGGTGGGAGAAGAAGAAGAAGAATACTGGGGAAAGTGGGGTCCGGAATTTGGGCCGGCGGTTGGTTATGCGAGCTAATAACGCCAAAAAAACAAAACATGAAAAAAATCCCACCATCGTCCTAATAGACACCTAGACAGAGAAACCACGGCGAAATTTCTCGACTGAATCATAACAGCGACGAGGAATCTGAATCTCACACAGAACCATTGCCACCCTGAGAACCCCATTACTTCACTATAGCAAACCCAGTTTCCGTTGTAATCATCTCGAGAGGTTGATCTAGTGGTAATACGAAAACGGAACATCACCAAATTATTGGGGTTTCTTGTATCCCACGGTTGATTGTGAAAACAGAGTCTGCATGTCTGTTTAAAAGTGCTATTGCGGCCAACATTTGAACTAAATTAGAGATTGTGCTTCTAACAGAATCTCAAATTTGATGCTTAGGAGCTAATTAACTTCGGTTCGAATTACGGGGCGAAGGAAGGAAGTAGCTAGGAGGAGAATGTGGACTTACAGCTTGTTGGAAGCCAGAGAGGTAAATTGCGAAGGAGCACTCGTCTTGACCGGGACAAAGTGCGGCCATGGTGACGTCGGTGATGGCCGGAAGCACCATGAACGATGAGAAGTTGTTGAGAAAGATGGTCATGAAAAGGTGTCCCAAATTCGGCAGCTTCCCCATTTCCTGGCCCTTCTTCCTTCGTTCCCCTGTTTCGAATCAGAGATTGGAGGGAGAAAGGGAAAGGGCGAGAGCTGTGAGAAGGGAATGAAGGACTGAAGCTTTATGTGTAGGATGATGAACAAATGTCGAGTGCACACTTCCCTTCTTATATTTACAACTGTCAAACAGGGAATCATACGTGGCAGCAGAATTCGCTTCTCAAAGTTAAAGCAAAGCAACCCCGTTTCCTTTCTTTACGGTCTTCGTGTCTTGGACCCCGGTCGTGATCACATCTCGGCCGTCGATTCTATGGCCGTGGGTTGATTGTGGGTATATGGGAGAGTGTTGGGACTACCCTAGTGGGGTTGGGTTTGTTTGGTTCGGTCCAACCGGGATTTTAGAACGAATCGTTTGACTGAGGAAATCATCACATTTTAATCTACGCAATAAATAAAAGTCAAATGAGAAAACTTGAAGTCCCATTTCAAATTTCCTGCATCCAGAGTGAAAGTAGGAAGAGCATTTTGGTCTTCACAATTACTTTTATTTATTTATTAAAAAACACTTACTAGGATTCGAACCATAACCACTTTAAAGAAAAACAAAGATTATAAGTAATCACACTAAGTACATTTGTTGTATCTTATTAAATTAAAAACATATAATCCCAGAGAGGAAAAAACTCTTCTCCCATTTCAAATTCTCTGCTCCAGAAGCGTTTGTAGGAAGGGTAGAATAGGGAGTGTCAATTTTTTTCTTTTTCCTCTGTGGAACGGGCCAACTTACCGTACACATGCGGATTTAAACGGGTCTAGGAGTGTCAATTTTTTCTTCAGCCCTTTTATTTCTCCGTGGTGGTAAAATATATATGAAAAGGCAAAAACAATACTCCTTTTATTGCTAAAAAGAAAAAAATTTAACAATAAACTAATGCATGGATCTAATGGGCTAACCGCTAATCATAAAATAAAAGAGTTGAATGGGCCAGACCTACACGAGATTTGCCCCCATCAAGTAAAACAAATGAACATCATGGGTTTGCCATTCTAAAACAAGCTATTTTCTCTAGCATAATATATATTAGTTTAGTTTGGCCCTGCTGTAGCTTTTGTAGAAGCAACTTCTGGCTGGAGTTTTTAGATAATTATTTAAAAAAAAATAGTTGAGTGTTTGGCTGTAAAACTATTAGAAGTGCTTTTTAAGATAAGAGGTTGTGTAACATGACTATAAAGGACTTATAATATAAAATATAAATAAAAATTCTAAACAATAAAAAGTAGTCAAAATGGATCTTGTTAGATTTCTTATATATTAAATATATGATTTTATAATTTATTTTATTTTTAAAATGATATAAATGAAGAAAAATTATATTTTCTGAAATAAAATTAAAATATGGTAAAGATAAACTTGTATTTTCAAAACAGCTTTTCGCAAAAGCTCCAAATTGGAGCTTCTGCTTTTATGTTATACAAAAGCGCTTTTCGGCTTTTCAAAAGCCGAGCTTTTACAGGTGTTTGGCCCTGCTTCAGCTTTTGAACCCGAAAAGCACTTCTAAAAGCCGGGCCAAACATAGGGATTATGCTATCATTTTATATCTTAGTGGCTAAAATATAATGTATTTTAAAGTTATTCAATAGTTCAACCTCGACCAACCCAATTAGTCCAATTTTTATCATTTCAAACATATACTATGTAATTATTTGATATCATAATGATTAAATTATAGTGTATATTATAGGAAATCGTTTGGTATTTGTTAGTAAAAAACTAAACAGAAATATCTATTTGGTTATTTTTAATATTAAAGCGATCCTAAACATTTTCAGTTTCCTTTCGAAATTCTAATTTATAATCACATGGTTCCCTGATACTCGATAAAAATCTCAATCCCAACCAGTTTGGCAGGTGAGTCCGTGTTTACCACCATTTTCTAGGGATACAGGAACGATGGTTCCTATCCCAAATCGTGTTGTTCATTCTTGATTTCTTTAGATTTTATCATGGCTTGGCAAAAAAGCCAGAAAGCACAATGATGACAAGATAAAAGTTTTATAAAGCAAATTAATCGACCAACGGGCCGAGTAAAAGCTAGCAACGATTGTGAGATGCTCATTTCTCGAAAACCGGTGGCATATGCGATTTTTTATTCGATTTTCAAGAATTCGGTTTCTATAAAACTTACTCCACCTCATCATATTACCAGAAACAATATTGTTTCACAAGGTAATAGGTACTTGATTTTGGTTCATAACGCTGATTTTTTATTCGTTGCATCATTCATGTCTCTTTCCTACTAAAATTCACTATTTTTATCACGTGTTTCCCAATAAAGACTATACAACAATAAGCTATACACCCCATTACATTATCAAATTTCATACCTCACCTTCCTCCGGCCAAATGGCCGGGGCCACGCTAGTCTGCATTCATGACTTGTAATATGAAAAAGCGTTGGCGTTCACAACTGGACTAATCATATTTCAGTTGGTGATTAGGGTTACTTTTTCATGACCCGATGAGCTTATCGGATCATCAATTCAACCAAACTCAACCGAATTTGATTTTACATGTGCATTGCTCGTAGTGTAGAAAGTAGTTTCTTGATGGTCCGATTTGGTCAAGGACAGAATCGAATCATGATTTGGTTGATTCATAAAGTGAACAAATCATAAACGAATTGTATCTAGATTTTATGCTTATGGTTCAATCTAATTATAAAGGATTCTATTATTAAGGAGCGAGAAATCTAAATTTATCAGTATAGTTTCTTTTCTTGTTCGGAATAGAGTAGACTACGCACGAGATGATAAATGGCGAAAATATGCATATTTGATTATTTTCTTTGGATTGAACCACGACGACAAATACTGGATCCGATTCCAACACGATATAAGCTCTTGTGTTAGCTTTGTGGATGGAAGAGCACATTCATGCAATAGCCCAACTCGAGGAGGAAGATGGTGGGCCCAAAAACATGCCCTTTACAAAAACAAGTGATCACACAGGAATATTCTAGTCGTTTATCTGAATTTAGGCCTATTCACATTGGCATTATGGCTCTTATTGGATTAGGAATTTAGGATGCAGGGGAAAAAGAAGAAAAACAAAAATTGAGGATGCTTTGCTTGTAAGTTGATGCTAATGCAGGAAATTAATAAGTTAAGGAAGGGGGAGAAATTTGGGTGTAGTGGGCCTGGGTGGGCCCAATTGCGACAGAGAGTAATGCGGACGCGTGCAGAGTGTAATTACGCAACAAGGCGTGCAAGTTTTCACGTAAGGCAGAGACAAGAGAGTGGGAAGATGGGAGTTTGGATATATGATGGGCCGGAAATGAGGTGAACCGGTAGATTAGGTTTCGATGATTTGTTTCATTAATTTAAATCACGATAAAAAAATCCGTCAATATTTGTTCGAATCTGACCTAATTCGAAGGATTTGAACCGGTATATGTAAAACCCAAACCCAAATATTATAGGTAATGGGTAGGCATGATTTTCTCACTATTCAACTCGAACTCGCCCGATTATATACATACATATGTATTTTGTCTAGAAATTATCATTATTTTTCTCAACATATTTTATATTAGCCTAAAAATATAACATTTTAATGAAATTGTCTTATTTACTTGAGTACATGTCATGTTCGTTGGAGTTATAACGAAAAATTATTACTCATGAATAACCTTGGTTATCCGAAACCCGAACGAATATGTGCATGGTTTTAATTTTTACCCAATTCTTATGTGGGTGTGAGTATGGGTAAAACTCGAATTATTTTGAGTAGGATAATGGATATACACTATCCGCCCGACCCGTTGCCATACACTTTCTTGTTATAGTATTCGACCCCTCAAAGCATAATGAAGGTCAATGGTGGGCAGATGATTTTTTCCGATAAGCGTGATATAGGTTTGATTTTTTGTGATTAAGGTACTACTTAAGGGATTCGAACCTAGGACCTCCAGGTTCTAGGCTAGTGGTATTACCACTTGATATGAGCAAGAGTGGCTTGCTCAAAGGATCAAAAGCACGCATCCCTCTCAACTCCAAAGATTGAACAAAACACAAAAGGTTTCGAGACGAAACAAGGGGTATGGCTTATTCGATTCGAAGTTAGCAACTCGACCATAATTGAGGGGAACACCTAACTGATACTGAGCTCGCTTGACTACGGGAATTAATCCAGCAAACAAGGACAATCTAAGATTCGAGCCTATATGTACACTTTTGATCCCCATTTATCTTTGCCGTTTGTGGCATTTGAGCTCCGAAAGGTGTGATTTTACGATAGGTTTGCTGTGTTTCAGTGTGTTTCAGAATCTAACAGGTGGAACCAACCCCAAGTCGATTGTTGGAAGAAATGGCGCGGAGATCGGACCAAAGGAGAAAGCAGCCGAAGATCACAGTTCATGCAGGAAATTCACAGTCATCGGGACCCTGAACTGGAGCCAAAGGGAGAGAAACCTTTTCTTTCTTCAAGAATCTAGAGAGAGAAAGCCACGAACCAAGAGGGAGAAGAAGCTAGGGTTTGCTCCAAGTCAAGATTTGGGAAGTTCCTCTTCAAGAGAGGATTACTACAAGCACAAGGGAGGATTGATGCATCACAATGATGGTTTTCCCCTTTCCTTTGTGTTCTTCCTTCTTTTAGCATGTAGTAGTCTCCTTTTCACTTGGGTGTTGTAGAACCCTAACTTCTACCATGAAGTTAATTGTGTGAATTGAATGATTGTGTGTGGGTGGTGTTTAATTTGATATTTGAGGTATTTTTCTTGGAGATTGTGCATTGTATGTGCTTGGCAATCTATTGTGCTATTCTAACCTAGCTTAGAGGGGAACCGCCTCATCTTAAGCGGCTCAAATTGAGTTGGGTTTTCTTGGGCATTCCATGCCTCCTATCTAGGTTAATGTAGGGAAAATATCTAAACTCAAATTGAGCACCTAGGTTAATTGTGATTAATTTGTCCAAACCCCGGTTTGAGGGAGAAGGTAAGTCAACCCTCAATTGCTTGGGCAAAGAGGGCTACAATTGTATCCTATAATGATTCCTTGGCCTAGCAATTAAGAGTGTGGTTCTAACCATTGTTGCTCCTCCTAGCGGTTCACGATTGCCTTTTCCCACACCGATTCATTCGATCCCACGGGTCATGGTAGTTAGCTAGGAGAAAACAACTCCCGAGTGAAGTTTCTCACCAAGAGTTTCAATCCTTTTACTTTTCAAGTCTTTCTTTTTAATCGTAGATTCTATAGATTTTCA